CGGAATGTGGGAACTGTTTATGACGATTAGATTAAGGTATCTGCAATCATAAAATGCTATGGAAAGGGAGGGAAACAGGTCCGTGGCGTAGGAAGTGGCGAAGGAAGTAGTAAAGGTGAGCAGTCCGGAGTGTTGGAACTGTTTATGACGATTAGATTAAGGTATCTGCAATCATAAAATGCTATGGGTAGGGAGGTAAACAGTTCCGTGACGTAGGAAGTGGTGAAGGAAGTGGTAAATGCGAGCAGTCCGGAGTGTGGGAACTGTTTATGACCATTAGATTAAGTTATCTGCAATCATAAAATGCTATTGGAAGGGCGGAAAACGGGCCCGCGAAGTAGGAAGTGATGGGGGAAGTAGTCAAGGCGAGCTGTCCGGAGTGTGAGAATTGTTTATGACGATTAGATTAAGGTATCTGCAATCATAAAATGCTGTGGGAAGGGAGGAAAACAGGTCCACGATGTAGGAAGTGGTGAAGGAAGTAATCAAGGCAAGCTGTCCAGAGTGTGGGAACTGTTTAAGACGATTAGATCAAGGTATCTGTAACCCTAAAATGCTATGGGAAGGGAGGTAAACAGGTCCGTCACGTAGGAAGTTGTGAAGGAAGTAGTAAGGTGAGCAGTGTGGAGTGTGGGAACTGTTTATGACGATTATATTAAGGGATCTGCAATCCTAAAATGCTATGGAAAGGGAGAGAAAAGGTCCGAGACGTATGAAGTGGTGAAGGAATTAGTAAGGTGAGCAGTGTGGAGTGTGGGAACTGGAAACCGTTTGTGGCAGTTAGATTAATGTATCTGCAATGCTGAAATGCTATGAGGAGGGATGGAAGCATCCCCACGACATAGAAAATGGTGAAAGAAGTAGTAAAGGCTAGCAGTGCGGAGTGTGGGGAATGTTTGTGGAAATTAGATTAACGTTTCTAAAATACTAAATTGCTATGGAAAATGATGAAAACAGGTCCACGATGTAGGAAAAGGCTTAGAAAGTAGTAAAGTATAAGCATAGTGTGAAAACCGTCTGTGGCAGTTAGATTGATGTATCTTTAATCCAAAAATGCTATGAGAAGGGGAGGAAACAAGTCTATGACGTAGGAAATGGTGAAGGAAGTAGTAAGGCTTGCCGTGCAGAGTGTGGGAACTGTCTTTGGTTAGTACATTAATGTATCTGCAATCCTGAAATGCTATGGGAAGAGAGGGAAATAGGCCCACGGCGTAGGGGGTGGTGAAGGAAGTAGTATAGGTGAGCGTGTTGAGTGTGGTAATGGATTAATGTATCTGCAATGCTAAAACGATATTGGAAGAGACTGTAGACTGTAGGTTAAAATAATTTCGAAGCACGAATCGATACATATTTTGATACATGCAATCGTTTATAATATAAATTTACAACTGAGTTGACAACAGCTGATTTTTACTCAATAGAGGATAAAAACTAGTTTTACTCCACAGAGGATAAAAACTTGTTTTACTTCCTAAAGAGTAAAAATGCTACTTTAGACCCGCAACGCATGCATTAAAAACGACTGGTATTACTGCAGTATGACCAAAACAATATAATATAAACCCTTGATGACTCCGCTCAATTTTGTGGATGCCTCTGCGAACGCCACCTAGTTTAAGTTAAATGTTTTACTGTAGCAAGCAAGAAACGTAACGAGAATGGTACAAATACAAATCGAGAATATAATAAAAAAAAACAAAGCTTACAATATATTTTATAAGAATTTCCTGCAATACTAAAAACGTGAAGTAACTTATACTAACTAACTTATGATGAGTGGAAGTAGAAGAGTTCTACTGGAGCGGAAACTATCTAATTATGAATTAATTAACCAACAAGGAAATTATTAAACTATTCCATCTTCAAACTTTATTAGATAAGTAATGCACAATAAATTAGGTTAAATTACAATACATTTAAGAAAGATTCAATATAAATTAATTGCATGTTAATACATCATAAAATATATTCTCAGGGTCCTATAGAAAAGTAAATATCCTAGTTATTTCTGCTATTTAATTTTTTCATCGCACCTTAACTAATATATTAATGGAGCAATTTAAACGAACGCTATTTAAAGTTTTTACAATTTAAAAATGTAATATGTACATTGTTTTCAAATTTTTATACCCTTTAAGTGCAAAATAAAAAAGTTCTAGACATATTTTCATAAAATTAGCCATTTTTTTGCAATTTCAATCAAAAAATTAAAATGGCCTCCATTTTCAAATTTTTCATTAGATTATTTTTAACGTAGGTCTGTTTTACCTTGACATACATACGAAGATTCGTAATTATTGGTAATAAATTAAGATAAAAACCTTTTCGTTAAGAATATTAAATGGCGATATCCGGTTAACGAAGCAATCTTAAATAAAATGCCATACTTGATTTTAATTTTTTTTAACTGTAGAACTATTTTCCGAAGTTTGGCTTTGTCCTCACAAGACAACCCTGTATAAACAATTTGGAAATAATTACACACTGCCAGAAAGAAAACCAATCATTTAAGACCTATTTTCTATACGATCTTCTCTTATAGAATCGACCTAGGAACAATTTTCACAAAGTTTAACTGGAAATGTTTATACATCATGCATATTGTAAAAGGATATTTAAAACATCTCTTTTGTTTCATTCTAATACATTTGCACACACGACATACGTTCCCTACAAATGTTCGGCAGGTAGAAGGGACTCGAACATGCATGTAAATTGATATCCGATATCCAATGCTATAAAAACCGCCCGTGGTTTTCGTCGTTTTAAGCTTTCCTTTATAACAATATCGTTATTTCCTATGTAGAATATTATTGAAATTGCAGAATATTTATTCTTTCTTTTAAAACCTATGTTGTTTAGGCTTAAGTAGGTATTTTATGTATATGTAAAATCATCAGTGAAAAAAATCTAAACGTAATTTTTGTTACCGATACATTAGTAATAAGTTTATTTCTATTTCGTCGATACGTAAGTTACTAACTATGGTCACTATTCGTACATAAACCAGTATAACTTACCTTCATTATGTACATTTCTTTCACATTTTCCGATCACAACTTGTGTTAAAGATTGATTTGAATATCTTTTGTTTTAAATCTTGTTTATATTTTGAAAGAATGTTACTTTTTTATGTATGATATTGTAATAAAAAATCATAGTCCATTAAACATTTGTTATGGAAAATATTTCACTCAAAGATGCAACTTCCATTTTTGGCTCAGGGTAAGATAAATCATCGAAGCATATTCTTCCTAAATCATGCTTACTGTCCCATTCTAAAAGGTCATGTTTTTTAATGAAATATAACTCATGATATGTATATGTAAGTGAGAGCAATATTCATTAAAATAATTACAGTAACACAAACAATAAACTATCAATTTTCATATTTTTTTACAATAGGTAACGCCTTTATTGATAATTTCTCACAGTACTAAGTAACTGTAAGTGTTACAAGTTGAGCATTCTCATGAGTTACTGGTGTAAAATTAACACAGAACAGAACAATCACAAATTATTTGGACCCTCAAAAACCCAAACGTGAACTGTTTTTATACATAAAAAATCTGATTTGGGTTTTCTTTTGGATATTTGTTTGGAAATGTACAAAAAATTACTATTACACGTAACAACATTGAACTTAGAGCTTTCTTCCTATAATGGTTAATTTTATCATATTGCCTACTAATTTATGTTTTAATATCAGTTAATCCATCGGAATAAATGTGTTGACACAATCAATATTATCTGTTATTGAATTGTTTTCTTGTTCCTAAAACCCTTCGATTAAGTTGTAAAACGTTTATTGGATTCAAAAGAGGGCCAAGATAACAGAGCCATCAAAGGAACAAATATCTAGAACTGTCTTTCCTTTATTATATTGAAAGTTCTCTCGGAATCTTACCAATAAAAGGAAATAAACCCTTTTACCATCTGTGACTTACATGAATTGAGTAACTTTGATAGAATATTTCTCCGAGCATTTATATGTGAAAAATCTGGACCATGATTCCAAACTATGTGAACTGATAAATAAATCTTTAGAGAACTAATCATTTCAAGACCGTTAATTTTCTTATAAATTTTTTTATAGATTTTATATCTCATAAATTCAACGATTCGTTTTATTGTTTGCCCTGTTAACTACTTAAATAATTAAACTGTTGACTTACATTATTAGTCAAAGTAAGTCTACTAAAAACTCAAGAAAAAACTTAAAACCTAAGTTGGAATTGTCTGGGTAGCCGAGTGGTTATAGTGATTGCCTTCAAATCTGTAGGTCGCTAGTTCGAATCCATGTGATATCGTTTCCAGAGCCAGATGTAATTCGTCATTGGGCTATGAATTAATGACGCTATCTAACAAAAAGATCGACGTTAGATAGTAACAAGACAAGGGTTTGGACCTTTCTCTTTCAAAACTTAAAAAAATCCACTGGCGTAGAAACACGAAAAAACTAATCTAAATACGATTTCCATTAAAAGCGTTCTGAAGGATTAATTTTTTTTAGAGGAAAAGTGTTAAAGGGTAAACTAATTCGCCCCAAACGGATAACTCAATGATTATAATTAGTTAAGCCTATAAGAGCACTTAAATCTATGCTGATGCCATAAGCATCTTTCGTCTTAAATGATTTATTTGAGAAGAACTTTCTTTTATGTAAAACGATTTGCCTACTTATTAGTTCAAAATAGTTTTTATAAATTATTTGTTTTATATATTTATATATAATATATTTATACGTTATATTTTTTCAAACCATAGACTTTTGACTCTATTTCTCTATTTACTTCCATCAGAACGAAGAAAACTTCTTACACATTTTACAAACACCTACATAAAAATACAAACTTTTCCAGGAAGACCAGGAAGAATTTAAAGCTTGGGAAATACATAACTTAAGCGTAAATACATAACTTATATACATAACTTTATAATACATAACTTAGTCTGTTTAAATTATAACTATGACTTATATAATGTTATTTTTGTTTTAGGTGTGTGAGGGATCTAAATGTAAGTATATTAATACTTGTACTTTACCTTTAGTTTAACTCTAGTTCTAAAATATTTTATATTATTTAATAAGTTAAGCTTCACCGTCTAATAGGGAAACAGAACTAGAGCTAGGTTTTTTATCTTTACAAGTTGATAAGGACCGTCGTGACAAAAGTGTACTAAAATGCTTACTGTTAACTGTTAACATACAGGGTGGCTAAAAACAAATAACTTGCACCCCCTACCCTTAACTTTTTACTATTTGAGATATTTGAAATCGGTTTGTGACAACCTTCTTCATATCAATGAGGGGCTACAATAATGATGGTTAATTTTAAATCAATCTTTCTAAAGGGTAGGCTAGTTGGGATGGGGAATAACTCAAAATGTCCTTAGTCTACTTTCACATCAGTTTACAGGTCTTGATGAGACTACGCAATTGAAATATAGACAATTAAAATAGAGCTGGTAATAGGAGACACTGGAGGCGACTGATTCAGCAGTCAATCCTTGGGCTAATTATCTGAACAAGAAGGTGTAAGGTGGATACAATACTAGAAAATCGTGTAGGATTCTTGATTTTTTTATTATTTTAAAATCTATAAGCTATCTAAATGATTTGGCATGTTTGGTATTGTATTTTTTTTTTTTTTTTGTGTGATAACGGAAAAACAATATTGTAGTAATGAGACTTTATCTTTAACTAGTTGTTTTGCCAGTGATTCGAGGAAACAGAAAACAATAATTTACTTATTTTAATCTAATGTCAAAACTGTTACATATTTCCTAAAGATGCTAAATGGTTCAAATGGTTATTGTAGTACAACTTGATATTACAGATTTTTTTAAATATATTTACAAACAAATGTGTAGAAGAATTAAATTTAATAGTTTAATGGAAATTTAAACATAGAAAACCTGTTATAAGGATCAATGCAGAGGTTATAACTCTAAAGAAATGTTAACAAAAGATTATGAAAACTAATGTACCCATACACTATAAATTTTATAAATTTTATGTATATTCAATAATTTTATTTCATTGTATAGAACCCTTTAATAAGGTACGTGATCTTAGGGCAGATTATCTGAGAACTAATACTTTCCGGGAAGTTTCTCGTTATAATTCCATTCATTCAAGTACGTGGTCGATAGATATGTGATACTTACGTTTTTTGTATTTTTAGTCGCCTATTAGCTTTATAAATTACATTTTCCCTAATACTATATAGCTATTGCAGTAAACATCGTTTATCGTGATTCGTCATTTAAATTTTAAAATGGCAGTAACAAAAGCCACCACAGAAGCTTAAACATCATTTATACATTCTGCCTATACATTGTTTTATGTACTTCGACTATGACAACAATAATGTCTTTTGATATAAAACCAATTCATTTTCATTTTTTACTTGGATACTATTAAGATAGGATAGGATAGGTATATTGTTTTGGTTGTTAATTAAGGAGAAATGAAGAGAATGACTATATATTTTTTCCTATTCCATGAAAGTAATCGGTTATTTGTTCTAGGATTTTACTAATCTCCAAAACAACTCTTTGTTTAAAGTTCATTGTTGGACATGGTGAGTTAATGTTGTTCAAAGGTTTATTGCGGATAATTTCCATCACGATGGTAAAAAACAAAAAAAATGTTTTATTTTGTTTTTTACCATCTCGATGGGAAATATCCACAATTAAACCTTTAAACAAAACAACTCTGTTGTTATCAATAAATTTATAAATTTCCTATGGGATATTTGTAAATATACCAAGGTATTTTATATATATATATATATACATAAAACGAATGTAACTGGTACCATGGAGATTTCGTCTTGACAGTAAAATGTAATGATACTTACATTTATTACTCGATAAAGCTATTTTGGTTTTAATTAGACAAGTGATATATTTAGAATATCATGGTCTTATACATTAGTGTTGATATTGATATTAAGATTCCTAAACACGTCATTAACATCTGTTTAAACACTTTTCTCATCAATTAAACGACTGATACTAGTGGTAAAGATAAGTCAGTATTCCATCACTCGACAGTAAAAATAAAAATATAAAATGCCATAATGACTTAGTATTGTGGACTACAAGTAGCCAATGAAATTAAAAACCATAGATTTCACATTTTATGCGAAATAATGTGTTATATAGGCTATTCATGTAACGCCGTGTTTATATAATGCATTCAATATATTTTGCTTTTAATTATACATTTTTTACTAAAATGTTTCCTATTATCAATTTTATCTCATCACATATGATTTGTTAACTAATTGGAACCAATTTTCCTTTTTTTAAATGTTTTTTTTCTATAACTTTTTCGACCTTTCATTAAACTTTATAATCGTTCATTTATTCGATTATTTAGACGAATTAATAAAACATTGTCACAGGCATAGTAATAACATAACATTTTAATAGAAACCACTTTTGAGAGAAATACCAAATCCAATACCAATACAATCAATGGATACAGTTATAGAGAATTCATACACAATCGAATATCCGTTATCATAAAGGCTTGAACCCGGCCATTCGGTCTCTATTGTAATTTGATTACGGTTTTGATATGAAATTGGATATTGTATTGTCTTTACAAAGGCAAAAAGGTCCCAATTTACTATCAATTGAATTAAATTAAAAGCTTAGTATTTGCTATCAACTTATTGTCAATAGTTGAGTTATATAACAACAAATAACTTCTTCTCACAACAAAATACATAGTTTAAAACCACTGATATAAAAAATACTTTTTTTTATTACAAAACCAATTTTTAATGACTCGACAAATATATAGCACGTATTTATTTTAATTTACAAAACCGATTTATTTTTACTTACAACCTTTTTTGTAAGATTTGAGTTTTTTATATTTATACATGCCAGGAAACCTGTAGACTAAGCTACTCAAGATTGGGGAAACGCCATGTTGTGTCTTATTTAAAATAAATTCCCAATAACACTACACCTCATGGATAACTATGCAATCACGGATTTCAGATGATCAAGTAAAAAATGAAAATTAATTGGTTATTGTTGTCATAGTCGAAGTACGTAAAAAAATGTATAGGCAGAATGTATAAATGATGTTTAAGCTTCCATGGTGGCTTTTGTTACTGCCATTTTAAAATTTAAATGACGAATCACGATAAACGTTGTGTACTGCAATAGCTATGTAGTATTAGGGAAAATGTAATTTATAAAGCTAATAGGCGACTAAATACAAAAAAGGGTTAAAAAGATTGATTCAAAAAGTAAATTGTACACTACAAAATATTACAAAGAAATGCTATTTAATATTAGGTCCAAAGTGATCTAACTCACTTATATAGACAAGTTGAAATGTTTATCGTAGCATTAAACTTTCTAAGAGCACTTAAAGCTCATTCGACCTACCAGAGTGAATTAGTCACCAAAAGTGAAAGTTCATATGAGCTACACGTAAAAGCACTTTAGATTTGTGTTTTAAACCTTGGATTGACTTTCGAAATGTGAGTGTGGGTCACAACAGCTATGATCTCCCCTCACATGGGCTTAAGAGGTGTGCTGTAATACCAAAGTCAAAATTAAACTGTAAAAATGAATCGTCAATTTACAAAAAACGTTATTAATTTTATCATGACATAGTCAAATGAAGTTTTTGTTGACCGTACTAATTGTATTATTAGGCATGTTTATATTGGCTACATGTTATTGCATTTCTTGTAATTTAATTTACATTACATTTTAGCAAGATTAAATCAACATTTTTAGATATAAAAGTATAAAATTACATAAAATGTAAGATTAATTATATAAAGTTTTTAGAAATTAGTTTTAATGATACAAATAAATTACGATCCTTAAGCTATTTACAGAAATATTTCACAATACATTACTAAAAATATGATTGCTATATCCTTATGTGATAAGGATACACGGCTTTAGGGTTATATTCAGGACCCAAATATAATTCTGTCTTAACCCAGAAGCTATAACAATCTCCATAAACATGGAAATACGATTCGAGGTTCGATGATTTTTATGGAGTTGGATTTGGCTATTCACTTGTAGCCGGGTGGATGTTTTGCAAAGATTTTTTAAATACTTTTAAAGCTAAATTAGGTGCTTTATAAACAATTCCCGTTTAACGATGATTTCAACGAGTTGTTCAATATTTGCATAAACACATGTCACCATAGTTTTGGCTTTGTAAATGTTTAAATAATGCTCATCGTCCAACTAACATATTGAATAATAAACTTGTGTTTAATCATTATGTTGTTTCTTCTTAATTCAATAATTTTTGTCATGCGTGCTTAGGGAAAATCATAGTTCGAAGTGCATTGCTTATCTTTGGTTGTTATATATGTGCAAATATATTCGCTGTAGTTTGTAACAATTAATTATTTTTTTATTGAACACAACATTCTAAAAAACGGTTGCATTTAGGGAAATTTTGATGTGTGTTAGCAATGTACACATGGTAATGGATATGTCAAACTATAATAACTAAAAGGCTACCTAAAATTTTCCCCTCAAATTCCGTGTTTTAGTAATTATAATTATTGTTTAACAGTGAAAAAAAATGTAATAAATTAATTTACCGATATAAAATAATAAAAATGCAAAACAAAACTAATAACAAACCAAATAGTGATACAGCTACCTCAAATAAAATAACAATGTTTCCTAAACAATGTATATGTAAACATTTTCATACTTAATTTCTAGAAAACGAAGTTGCCACTAATTCACTCAAAAATTAATTCTCTTGAAAAACTGCGAGTGCAGGTAAAACACGTAAAGCCATTTTCAACTTTTTCAGTTCCAGACTTGTAAAAGTGAAATGATAATACATCGAAAGATTTTTATCCACTTTATGAAAAAAAAATGGTCTTTATGGTACTGTTTTAAAGGACTCCACTTGCTTTAACATTTAGATTCGGTTTAATTTCACACATTTTAACTTGTAATTTAATAGTTGTAATAGAGGTCTAAATTCATATACTCTTATC